CCCTCCCTCCCTTTTAGCAGGCATTGGGTGGCTGAAGGAAAGTGGCGAGCTGAAACATCTGTTGAAGAGTTCTGAGAAGACGGAGCCTCTAAGGATGTTTCTGAAAGTTGCCACCAAGAGTGATCTGCTGGGTTTCAAAGAGAACAATGAAAACCAACAGACAGCACCGAGGCACAATGGAAATGATGTAGGGAAGCAGGTGGATCGGTTAATTCAATCCCCAAGTGTTTGCAAAGGGGCCAGTCAGCCAGCTCTCCTGGAGGATGAGAATGAGATCAATCACAATGGGAGCAAGGGAGGTGTTGATCAGAGCTTGCAGATTACAACAGATGAAAGCACCGATGCAGAAGAGAAGCCGTTCAGATGCTGGCACTGTGGCCAAAGCTTCAGTAACAGTTCAAATCTGGTGACCCACGAGAGGACCCACGTTGGTGAGAAACTCTATAAATGTTCTTACTGTGGAGAAAGTGAGAGGACCCATACAGGCCAGAAGCCCCACAAATGTTCTCATTGCGGGCGTGCTTTTGGCTGCATTGTTCACGAGAAGATCCAGGTGGGAGAGAAACCTTATGCGTGTTCAGAGTGTGGGAAAAGCTGTAGTCAGAAATCTGATCTTTTAAAACACCAGAGAACCCACACAGGCGAGAAACCTTATCAATGCTCCGTGTGTGGCAAAACCTTCCGAAATGGGTCAGGTCTCAAAGTACACCAGAGAATCCACACTGGAGAGAAACCGTATAAATGTGTGTACTGTGGGAAGTGTTTCAGCTGGAGCTCGCACTTCCTATCACACGAGAGAATCCACACAGCTTTGTGCTCCTACTGCGGAAAAAGTTTCGGTCAGAAGTCAGAGCTGGTGGAACACGAGAAGACTCACGTAGCAGAAGATTTGTTTGCGTGTTTTGCCTGCGGGAAAATCTTTGAACTCAGTTCTGAACTCGTGGCACATGTCCAGACTCACAAAGAGAAGCCGTTTGAGTGCTCGGTCTGTGGGAAAACCTTTAGGAACAGTTTGCAACGCATTGCGCACCAGAAAGTCCATACCGGAGAGAAGCCACATAAATGTTCCCTCTGTGGAAAAAACTTTAGCCAGAGACAGAGTCTGATTGTTCATGAGAGAATCCATACTGGAGAAAAGCCACATAAGTGCTTAGTGTGTGGGAAAAACTTCCGAAACACCCCTAATCTTAAATCGCATGAGAGAACTCACACAGGAGAGAAACCATATAATTGTTCCCATTGTGATAAAAGTTTCAGGTGGAGTTCACATCTCATATTGCATAAGAGGATTCACACAGGAGAGAAACCCTACAGATGTTCTGATTGCGGAAGAACGTTTGACCGGAGATCCAACCTTCTGGTGCACGTGCGAATCCACACGGGGCAAAGACCATACATCTGTTCAGATTGTGGGAAAAGTTTCATCTCCAGCTCGGTTCTTTTACGACACCAGAAAGTCCATGTGGGAGAAGATACTGCAGTGTGCTTAGAATGTGGGAAAGATTTCAGACAGCGCCGGGACCAGACGGAAAAGATTTCAAAATGTTCTGAGTGCACCCAAAGGCATTCCCTGAGTTTGGATCTTCAGCGAGCACAGATGCAAGCAAAGAAGACATTTGAATGCTTACTGTGCAGCAAGACTTTCAGGAACAGCTCTCATCTCATTACACATCAGAGTGTCCACACCAAAGTTCAACCAAGCCAGTGTTTGGATTGTGGGAGAAACATAATTAGGAGGCCCAACCTCATTGCCCCTTTGAAAAACCACTCCGGGCAAACCCCACAGAAATGCTCAGAATGTGAAAAACAGTTTAACTAGGTCCTGGAGGAACATGCGGGTCTCAACTTTCTTCCGTTCATCTCCTGAACGTTACACCATCTGTCCCTTAAAAAAAAAGATTCTTCTGACAGAGGGCATCCATGGGGGTGGTGGGTGAGTATGTCAGTCAAAAAAGTCGAGATGGCCGTGACTGGAATCAAAGCTCAGTCCCTTTTATGTATGTGTTGATGTGCATCAAAAAGAGGCAGGGCTTCAATCGCGTGGTTGGGCCTCCATCTTGAGCGTTTGGAACCCTTCCACAGATGGTCACTGTCCTCTGTTAATTCCCACATGAACATGTTGCTCTAAATTAGGGCTGCATATCATGTGAGCCTTGGGCTCACCAGTGAAGCCCTTTCTATAGCCCAAGTGGGCCTCCCCAGCCCCCCCCAAAGTCATGGAAAATTAGTTTTGATTGGGACTGAATACGTAGGTAGGTGTGATGGAATGGAATTATGAAGGCCAAGCTCAGGGAGATAAACATTTTCTTATCTCACCAGAACCGCGTGGGAGGAACAAGAGGATGAGACTGGCACCTCCCTGAGGAATTCACAGATTGATGTCAGTCCTAGCCCAAGGAACTCCAAGAGACAATGCAAATTCAGTCCAGTTATGTTTATTAG